TTCCGTACAGAGCACTACTGAACTGCTTTAAGCAAACTGATTCCCGAAATGTTTTCTTTGCAAAATACAGTACAAGTAAATAACACTGCAATAAATTTTCGGTTAAGGAAGAGGAACTCAATAAAGCAGAAAAGTCATCGTCGTCTCAAACATAACGTTTTCAAGTCTGGGGGCAAAATTTTAAACTTTTTATCAGATGCTTCAGAACAGAATACAATTTAGGTGAACGTGATATGATTACACTGATCAGAATTTCCATTTGTGAATGAGATTTATCAGCAGCCCATTCATTTGCCATCTATCCATGCAGGACCTATTAAATGCAATAGAATCGAAGGAGTAATACTATTAATCAATCATTCAGAGAAAATCAATTTCGGACGAACCTTCTCGCTACCGGCCAAATCAACCAAATATAATTTTCCGGTAAGTTTCTTCTGAGTGGCCGTATTTTCTTGCTTCACTTGTATCAAGAACACACTATGACTCCTTGAGCTATGCTCATTCATATCTGCAAAAAACCACTTCAATTCTCTTCACTTCACTGAAAACGCATTTCTTCCAACACAAAAGCCATATGGAAATGTGTGCCCCGACAGAAAAATAATCAAAAATTTACCAGCTGAATCAAATTTTATAAATTCAAACCTAAATTACCGAATGACTCAATGAAAGCAGTGGAAAGGAAATGCCATGAAAATATTGGTTATGAAGCGATTACTTGTAACAGCGACATGACGATTATTCTTTCCCTCATCGATTGTGGCCATCACCTCTTCGGGACTAGACACGAAACGTTCAGTGGCACCTTTCACATACGGTACGCGGTTTTTATCCTCATGAATTGCGAGATTCATTTTGGTTACTGAAATTTTCATCATTTGATTAAATTTTGAACTATGACACATGCTGTGAACAAACACATTTGTGAAAGATTTACAAAAAATATTTCTTCACTTTCAATTCACTCAATTCTCATTTAATTAAAAACTGTGAATGAAATATGAGAACTTTGCAGTGAGGTAGATAAACGTTGAAAGAATGTTAGGAATACTTTGAGATTCACCAAATAACTAACCGTCAAGGAGATCTCTTATTTTCTCGTTATATATTTCAAAATAAGAAACTTTAATGTGAAATTCCAGATCAGCATCCATATTGTAAATATGATTAAAAATATCCTGTACCATACGTGGAATAATACCTTGTTTATCATTCTCACCGAATATACCCTAGAAATGATGTTCTCATGAAATCGCCTTCATTTCAACAGTACTTCAATGAGAATTTGAGAGCATAATCTCAAAACAATGCAGTTTTCTCTTGATTTTGAGATGAATCAAAATGAATTCGGGAGAACGTTTCATCGAGTATTTTTTGATCATTCTAAAACAGTTCATGCGATGAAGAATCAGTTGACAACTGCAACTTCAGGCTACGTTTTCTGATTGAATAAAAGCAAAAAATCAACAATGCACATACTTCCATCGTATGCGTTTTACCGGATGATGTTTGACC